CGTGCCCGGGTGACACCCCCTCTCCCCCCCAGGCCTGCCAGCACCGGCTGGAGCCCAGGCAGCTGTCAGGAAACCCCTCCTGACCGGGAAATGCTCCTCTCGCCCCGGGGATGGCGGGGGGACCCTGGCCGGGGAGGGAGGAGATGAGCCTGGACCAGAGGGGATGGAAAAAGGTGCTGAGGGCTCAACAGCATCGCCCTTCCCATGGCAGCCGGGGCCGTGAGCCCGACCGCCGGCAGCCCGGCCGGCGGCCAAGCCGCCACCGCTAATGGAGGGTTGTTGAGCCTCACGAGTCCCCGGGGAGGCGCAGCCCTGCAGACACGCCGATCGATCCATCCGTCGCACGCCGCGGCTGCCGCTGCTGCGCGGAGGGGAGGCGGGTGCCCCCTCTTGGGGTGAGGTGGCCGTCTACCCCTCCCGCGCCCTGGGGTGCTTTGCGGAGGGTGAGAGTTGGCTGCTTGCACCCCAAAGTGCCTCTGCATCCCCGTCGCTGCCGGGTGCTGGGCTGGGGACCGCACAGGCGCACGTGTCTGCAGGTACGGGTCCCTCCGCCGGCACCCCGGGGTGCTGGAGCCCCGCGGGTGCTCACCCCCCGCCATCTCCCCAGGGACGATGCGCCCGGTACGGAGGAACTTCTACGACCCGTCCTCGGCACCGGGGAAGGGCATCGTGTGGGAGTGGGAGAACGATAACAACTCGTGGACGCCCTACGACATGGACATCTGCATCACCATCCAGAACGCCTACGAGAAGCAGCACCCTTGGCTGGACCTCTCCTCCCTGGGCTTCTGCTACCTCATCTACTTCAGCAGCATGTCCCAAATGAACCGGCAAACCCAACGCAAGCGCCGGCTCCGGCGTCGCATGGACCTGGCGTATCCCCTCACCATGGGCTCCATCCCCAAATCGCAGTCGTGGCCGGTGGGCGCCAACACGGGGACACCCTGCTCCTGCCCGCAGTGCCTCTTGGTCAACAGCACCCGTGCCGCCTCCAACGCCATCCTGGCGTCCCAACGTCGCAAGCTCTACCCGGGTGCTGTCCGCCAGAGCAGCACCTTCGCCGGG